TAAAGGGGGAAAAAAAGGGGGTTTTAATCCCCCCCCCCCCCCCCCTGGTGTTTTGACTTGCTGTCTTTAGTATTAATATGTTTTCCTGTTAAAAGTTTGGGGAGGCGAGTAATGCTTGCACTTGGTGTACTAGACCTTGTACAATGGATATTTCCAGCTAAAATCATTTACCTTAGGGGTCATTTGGTAGCTGGACAATAAACAAGTTATCCATGTATTAATTTCCATATAACTTATACGACGTTTGATAGGTAAATAGGAAATAAGTTATTCATGTATAAAATTAATACGTCATTTGGTTGACAATTTAGAAACCTATTTACTAATACATGTATAAGTTATGAGGGAATAACTAATTCCTACATAACTAATACCTGCATAAAATAATACATAGATTAACTCATAACTAATCCCTACATTACTAATACCTGCATAACTCTAACTAGCTACCAAATGACCCCTTATAGTATAAGCACTTCAAATTTAAGTTTACTTTCCCAGAAGTGCTATTATATATGTGTTTCGAGTTAGCATCTTCTCCAGGAAATAATAATTAGGCCGAACAAACTAAGACCCCAGAAATTGCAGTATAGGTTCTTGCTGAAAGAGTAATTGTAAAGGAATCATCATGTACTTTACTAGCATTTGTCTTCATGTGTACTTGGGTATGTGTCTTTTTTTTTTCTTGGGGGGGAGGGGGGGAGGGGCATAAATCGGTGTTTGGGCAAGCTTGCATGGACCTCAATTATTCCACCATCACCATATACTTGCCTCCTCCCACCAAAGGAGTTACTCGATAACTCTGCTCAACCTGGAGGGAAGAAATTATCTAACTTTTTTTTCCCTCTGTTGGGATTTGAACCCCATCTCTTAGACGAGAGGGAGTTGCTCGGATGGTAAACACCCCTCACTTCCAACTCGAAGGTTGCGAGTTCGAGTCACCAAGGGAGCAAAAGGGGTGGGAGCTACTAGGGAGGGTTAAAAAAAAAAAAAAAAACCCCATCTCTTATTATTCTCATTCAAACCCTATTGACCTCTATGGCACGCCTTTGGATGCAACTTGGGAGTGTACTTGAGTGGATCTCTCAAGTCTTTTCCCGCTCTTGCAAGAATGTCATCCCCTCTAAGGAAGGCCTCAGCCAGTAGTTTTGATTACTTCTTTCTTTTACTCATTTGAAGATTACTATTGTCAGAATGCCAATGTAATTTATTCATGTAATCAACTTAGTTTTAGGATAAGAAAGTGTTGTATTTAAGAGTCGTGGAAATTTTAAGGATAGGGAAGTCCCTTTTTTTATTCGAGAGGGGAGGAGGACTAGGAAAAGAGAAATATTAAAAGACCTTGCTTATGCTTGTTTGAATTTGTCCTTGTTTCTTTTAGACAGGGATGGTGGAATAATTAAATTCAAAAGATCTTGTGATGTCTCTTTCGCAATATTTGACTGTCACAAACTGAGGAATTAGTACTATAATGAAGTCTTAATCATTCTCTTCTTTCTACTTTTAAAAATCAATGAGAGAGGAACGTTGCTTCCTCGTACTTCTGAGTTCTGTGAAAGCATAACAAAGGAGAATATATCCTTCCTCTAATCAAAGATTCCACTTATCTTCCTCCCTTCTTCCCCATAGTGTAGCCTACTAACTGCGAACTAAGGTGTGGGATTTTTATTGCATTTCCATTTATGCTTTCTATGTAATGGATATTAAATTCATGTTTTCTGCTTTTGGACATCACTAAACTGCTTTTTCATGCAAAAAACTGATGACAGGTATGTTATTGACTCTGGGTATGTGAAGCAGCGACAGTATAACCCATCCACTGGCATGTACTCGTTAGAGGTTGTTCAGATTAGCAAGTAAGTTAACATGTCTTACCTTTTTTTTCTCTTTTTTTTCTTTCAGTTGACCTGGTTTTGGGTGCTTAAGAAAGGACTCGTTGTTTGAGGTGTAAAATTGAATTAACAGTTGGAAAATCTAGCTTTTTGAGAATCAAAAGGTATTTTGGGGAAAATATTGTCCCCCTTAGTATGTTGGTCCCGTAGTTCAAAGGTTGCTTTGATGATTTTGCAGTTAATACCATCTTTACCCTGTATGGGTTTAGTCACCAGACAGTTTTTGGATACCTTATTGACTACTTTGTTCTGTCGGCAGTTGAAAAGTACAAAAACTTAGTATGCAATCTTTGCTTAGTATCCCATTTTTTATTCTGTCAAATATTTGTTGATACTAATATAGGATTACTTCTACTTCAGTAAAAGTATATGGCTTTTTATTCCGTTTAACATATGGTGATATAACATACACGTTATTCTACTTCAGTAAGAATGTGTTTGAGCTTTCCACCTATGAATGACTGCAGGGTGCAGGCAAAGCAGCGTGCAGGACGTGCTGGAAGAACACGTCCTGGAAAATGTTATCGTTTATATCCCTCTACAGTTTACCATGATGACTTTTTGGATGCAACGGTTCCTGAAATACAAAGGTCTTCACTGGCTGGAACTGTACTTTATTTGAAGTCCTTAGATCTTGCCGATATGGATATTCTCAAATTTGATTTTCTCGACTCTCCTTCCGGTAAGCATTAGTTTCTCTTACCTTATTCTTTTTTTTTGAGAAAGTTAACTGGTATTATAAACAGAAGGAAGTACACCAATAGTGTGCTCCTAAGTGTTACATCAAAAATATGAAGGAACATCCAAAACAAATCTATCACCTATATCCATTATAGACTATCTAAAAACAGAGTGATGTCCCCTATATCCTTAGGTACAGATTGAATACACCAAAAGTAGAATGTTGCTAGACAGTTCATCTTCATACTTTGGAAGGAAATGCTCTTGTTCTCAAAACATCTCTGATTTCTCTCCTTCCAAATTGTCCACCAGATGCATGCAGGGACAATCTTCCATCTCTCCTTGTGTCCTGATTGATTTCCATCCCTATTCCAACATGCTAGAGCTTCTACAGTATGTCTTGGCATGGCCCATCTAATACCCCTGAGATTAATGACCCTTGCCATAATTTTTCAGTCACTTTCATAACACTCTTCCATTTAAATCATCATATTTTAATTCTATGTATTGCATCTTCATTGTCATGCCATTCTCATAAAAATCTGAGCTTAGATATCACTGCAGTTCCACTGATCTCATATCAATTCATTCTCCTCGTTAGAGCTAAGTCTTGTAGTGCATATATTTGTCGAACTACTACTTATCCTAAAACCCTTGGTCTCTTGAGTGTCTCTCTATATTTCCACCTTTTAGTTAACTCCCTTGATAGTTTCATCGATTGACACAATATCACTGGCAAATACTGTACATCATGGAACATCATTCTCTATATTACTGGTTGGTTAATCTGTACAGGAGTAAATGCGTCAGCTCAAGGCATATCTCTGGTATAAACCCACGTTTAGTGGAAATACTTTTATATTTAGGGCATTATTCCCACATATGTGATTTCTCTTTCACACGTTTTCCTTTATGGATTTATATATAATAGAATTCTGTTTTGCCTGAGCACTAGCTATAGAACTTTTTACAACACTCTTTATCATATGTTATCGCTTGGTCAATAAATGTTGTGGAGATTTTTATTTTGTTTTCCGATCAACTTTCATATATCTTCCTAGCAAAAATATAGTTTTTGTGTTGATATACTTGGCATAAAATCAAGTTGCTTCTCTATTACAAAGTAATATACCTAACTTTAGACTTTCAATCTTTTCCAACGTTTCAATCTTATGATTCATATGTTCTAGGGGTTGTTTGGTAGGGTATATAAGAATAGTGTTGAATACGATGTATTAGTAATGCTGGTGTTCGTTATGGTGAGATTAATTCTTATGCAATGTTTGGTTTTTGATGTATTAAAAATAACATCATTGCATAATTTCTAAAATAAAATATTTGTTTACAAAAATACTCTCCACAAATACTGTGGATATGATGTGGAAAAAGTTTTGAGAAACAATTGTGTTTTTAACTATGCTAATGCATGCATTAAAATCTCTTACATTGCTAATATTATGATTTTTCATGTATTAGTTATACATAACATAATACCAAATAGAGCGTGCATTAGTTATACATAGATTGAAAAAGTGTACCAAACATTATCCACCGAGTTTAGAAGGCTGTGATTGGTTCAAAGGGCGGGTCACAGACGGATTTCTCGGTTATCAAAAAAAAATAAAAAATAAAAAATATTAATAGTATACAAAGCTAATGCATGCATTATTTTTTCTAATTCATCCTACCGAACAACCCCTTAAGTTCATAGAGTTTTGCACAACTTTCAATTATTTTCTTTGTTTTTATATTTTAAAACTATATAAGGTACTCTTTGTCTACTTATTTAACATCTTTTCACTACTTACATAACTTCGAATAGTTTGTTTAGTCATATTCCTCCAACTTCTCCAGTTACTTCCATATCTCACTAGGGATATCATGGACCATAGGTTTTCTTTTCATATTCTAATGACATCTTTTACTCTGTCAAACATAACATAATGTTATGTGAGGTTTCCATCTACCACTGATATATTTAGATCTATGAGATTATTCTCTTACTTTGTGATGAACAATTTAGTAGCATCTTCAAGTCCTTTTGATCTTACCATCTCCCGTTAGAACTTGTTAGACATCATGTTTAATCTACTCGGTTCAATTGTTCAACTCTCTTCTCTCTCTGCTAGTTGATATATTTCCCTCTCATTCCTGGGTCTCTAATGGTACAAGTTGTCTAAGCCTTAACCTTAGGTTTTACCAAATGTTTTCGTGGCCTTTTAATTTATTTATTTTTGATACTCTTTAAATGTTTCACCTTCTTATGTTGTTGGTAACTTCCTATACTACTATTAGTCAAGTTCCTAGGTATTTTTTTTTGAAAATGGTAACGATGTATTATATCACAAAAGTACATGTGTTGTACTCAAACCTTATATACAGATGCACTCTAGACACTCCTACTCTATTTCTATATTGAGTCTAAAACATCAACTATAGAGGCAGTGTCATTTGAGTATAATTGATTACACCAAAAACATAACAACAAAATGCAGTTTAGTTTAACATCCTGCACACTATTTTCTATGCCTTCAAAACATCTGGAATTCCTTTCTTTCCAGATTGCCCACCATATTGAAGCAGGGATAATTCTCCATCTAGTTCTGTCTTTTACAAGGGCACCTGCCTCCTCCCAGCTGTACAAGGCCTCAGTAACTCTCCTAGGCATAGTCCAGGATATGCCTTTAAGGCTCAAGAAAATCCTCCAAAGCTGCCGGGTGTATTTGCAGTGTAGAAATAGATGGTTTACAGTTTCTAAGGTTTCCCCACATAGGAAACACCTAGAGCATAAGGTTATCCCCCTTTTCATTACATTATCCTGAGTCAGGGCAGCTTCCTTAGCTAGCAGCCAAATAAAGCATGAGACTTTGTGTGGGATTCTACACTTCCATATTTGTTTCCAAGGCCAGATGGGACTCTGCTGGCTTGATTCATCCATCAGCCTGTAAGCTGAATGCACTTTGAACTCTCCTCTATTGTTGCCTTTCCACCAAAGCATATCCTCATATGCCTGAAGTCCAGTAAAATGTCCAACCAACTTGAGGAATTCTGCCAACCTCATCACTTCCCAGTCATTTGGTTCTCTCCTGAAGATGAAATTCCACCCTTGTGGTGTCCATAGTTCTGCAATAGTTCTTTGTTGGAACATTGCCAGATTGTAAATATCAGGGAAAAGAGTTTCCAGGTTACCTTTCTCATGCCATTCATCCTTCCAGAATTTGATTTTGTTCCCATTCCCCACTTTCATCTTGAATTTGGGTTTAACTTCCTCCCATAATGCTCTTATGGATCTCCATAAACTGATCCCATAAGGTGTGGTCACAATCTTAGTCATCCAACTATCTTGATTCTCATATTTGGCACCTATCACTCTTCTCCAAAGTGTTTGGTTTTCATTTGAGTATTTCC